ATTAATCTATGACTTCCCTTACTTGGAAAATTTCAGGAAGAGGTATGGAAAGCGATTTTACATTATTTACTAAAAGTTAGAGCTCATGCACTTGCTCTAAAATTAGTCTACCATCTATCATTTGGAATCTCAATTATTGAGACACAAGATACTTTGTTTGTACCATCTTCTTGTGACTTATACTTGAAATCCAAGGCTTTCTAAAGTTCTCTTGGGCAAGTAATTAGAGAATATAGTTCAAACAGCGGATCAGACAAGACATTCTTTATGTGTCCGCAGGCAAGGTTTCTTCCTCCTTGCGGATTAGCCACTTCTTCTCAAGTTCGGCTGTATTTTTTCCCGGTTCAGAAACCACATTTTCAGGAACAGGAGGGAGGTCTGGGTACAAAACATAATAAAGTTTCACTACCATTAACATGAATTTCACCTTGTCGGTCCAACGGGTATAACTATTCTCGTCGAACTTTTCAAGTTTCATCATGTCTTGGTTCAAGATATGGTAGTTTCCGGAATCCATGTATAAAACCTTAAGGTTGTTGAAAAAATTTAGATTGATATTAATCTAAAATTCAATAAAGTTCGAACCGTTATAATTAAAGTTTAAAACTTTATTGATAAATAAAAAACTTATCAAACCGAATCTTTATTTAATCAAGATGGTGACTACAAAATCCGGATATCACAAAGACTGAAAACCATCATTCGCGGTAGAATCAATAAAAGAATGGGGTAGAGGCAGACTTGTTCACTTAGTGAATGAAAAGTAAATTGCAAGACAATAATTAAAAACCAACCTTTTGTGTCGTCAGGAAGCAAGTAAATCTGCACAATATGAACCTGTCTTTAAGATTTTATACGAACCCCATTAAGCTGTGGGTATTCTAGTCGCAAAGCCCCAAGATTTGATGCAGTTGTATTTCGTTTATCAACAACTTATGATAACAAAATTATAAACAAAGTTAAAGCAGAAATCATTTAGGAAGAAAACGACACTGTATGGTAGGAAGCAGAAAACCGTGAGAGAAGATAGAGAATTGCAGATTTTTCAAGTGTATTTGGAGAGGAGGTTTAACCCAGTATTTATACCGGTTAAACCCTCAAATTCGTGGCTTCTTCCTAAAGAATAGGGAAGACGTTGGAGACTAATGGGGTGTTTGGTTCACATAATGGAATTTGATATAATTGGAATCCATCAAAGGAATTTGACTTTGAAGGAATTGGAATGGAATTTGATGGAATTTGACCATGCATTTGGTTGGTAGGAATTGGAATAAA